CTGCTAGGTCCAGGACTCAAACTGCAGTCAGCCATGTGGGAGTCCAGTGCCCTTAACCACTATGCCACCTGCCAGCCCCCAGATGGCCTGATTTTCTAAAGATGGAGTCTAAGTTAAAGGACAATGGGTCGGGACCAGCAAGTGGCATGGTGGTTAAGGATGCTGGACTCCCAGATGGCTGACTGCGGTTTGAATCCCAAACCTGGTGGCTTCTTTCTCACTTTCTCTCTCTCACTCTGTCCCTCTCTGGTCAAATTAATATAAATAAAGTTAAATAAGATAATTATTTTTTAAAAAGACATGGGCGAATTGTAATAATAATCAATCCTATGTCTTAAGGGACCATAGCAGTGTTTTTCTTTTTGTCCTTCTTCAAAAGTGAACTATAAAATCAAGGATACCTTAAACAGAGAATGACTAAGATAAGGCTTAAAATGATTGCTATTAGCCCCCTTTGCTACTACAAAACAGCTATAGTGACATTTGCTAAACCAACAACAGAGAAGCCACCATCTAACCTAAATAAAAACAGAAAAGTATTCCTAAATATGGACCCACAGAGCCAGCTTGGTGGCATGGTAGACAAGGTGGCTGGATGCCACATGACTGACTCCACAGTTAATAGTCTTGGAGTCAGAGGCTTCAAAAACATGCCAGGTATGTGTACCCAAAATCTTGAGAGGAGAATAAAGAAAAGGGATTGTAGTGTGGCCATCCTTCCGGGGGGGTTACTGTTCACTTTTTCTCTATCTGGTGAGCTCATGCACCTGATAGCAAATTAAAAGTGGGGGGAAGATAGGGGGCCTACAACCCCCAGTAATTTATTTTCTGAATGATTCTCTTTCATTTCCAAAGCATTAGCTTTATAGTCTTCCAGATAATGCTGAGTGTGCCCTACATGAGGTGAGGTTCAAAGAGTCATTTTTAGAGACTGGTTTATACTCTGCAAATACAGGTTAGCAAGTCAATTTAGGTTGAAAGAAAAAAATGGTAATCATTAACATACCTGATAAATTGCAACAGACTGACAGATATTATCTACATTGAGTAAGTAGAAACCATAATCTAGCAATGTATCAGAGTATTTTGGGTGTTTGGATCCAAAATGATCCCTATAAAAAGAGAGAAAACCATTAGGATATAAAGTAGAGAGACAACGTAAAACACTATTTTTAATAGCAATCACCTACCGTGCCAAATACACTGCATGTTTAATTAATTGTTCTGCCTTCTTAAATTCACGTTTTACTACACAAGCCTAAAGACAAAGTGAAAAACTGTTAAATAACTCTCAAACAGTTCATTAGTGTACTAAAATAAATACAGTTTATATATTCTGGATATTAAAAAATTCCAACATAAATAGAAGTGTTCTATTTGTAATTTCTTTCCAAGTACTTCAAAGTTCTACTATAAACAGATCTATATGTAGCCTGGGAAAATTATAAAGTTAAAAATTTTGATAGTCATTCCAGATAATGCAAATCTGTTATAGCAAAGATCACTTACAAAGCTGATATTATCCATCTCCTTCTTTATTATTAAAATAAAATGGTGACAGGAGGGTTTACCAGAGTATTTTCTAAGGTACTTATATACTAGTTCTAAAGTGGCTTAATTTTTTATGGTTTTTGTATACTAATTTCAAGTTTTCCTATCACTTCTTAAAACATTTTGAGCCATGAAAATAGTAGTTTTTAAATCTCAGGTAATTTGCATGGAATTAAGGTACAAGTTTATTTTGATGCAAATAAACAGTGAATCCATGCACAGATTTTTTTCATAATATAATTTTCCATAATTTTTGAAGCCCCTCGTATAAATCTTGCATGAATATTATACTGTCTTGCTTTAATGCACTAAAGCAGTAATTTTGAAATACTATCGGATTTATTTATTTATAGAATAAACAGCAGCTAGAGAAAAAAAAAACCCCAGCAACAACAAAAGAAAACTGCTCGACAAACAAAACAAACTGAAGCCAAAACAGCACCAAAATACTACTATAATCTGTACTTCACTAAGCTGAAACAATTTCTAAAATGAATTATTTCATAGGTTTTTCTTGGTAAAGGGACATTAGGTAAAGTCTATGTGAGATGGTTTTTGTTAGAAACTGGGTTTCTAAAACTGAGCACGGAAACTTGGAAAATACATATACCTTATTAGTCTATGGAGTACACAACAAGCAGTATATTAAACAATAGGTTAACTTTAAAGCCTGATACATTCTATAATTCATTTATTAATTTTAAGATTATATTCACCTTAGAAGCTTGTCTTAAAACATCCACCACAACTTTGACAGGTAAGCCTGCTGTGATTTCTTTCATTGCCTCAATGCACCATTTGTATGCCTTAAAAAAATAAATATTTATAGGAGACAGAACTGTGATTAAGTTTAATTGACAGTATTTAACAAAATGACTGTAAACTTTTCCTGCAAGCTTTTGAAGTTCTTAAATAGGACTTGCAAAGACATTTTCTTTTTTTTAATATATTTTATTTTTTAAAATAATTATTTTTATTTATTTATTATATTCCAGTTTGATCAGAGAGAGAGCGTGAGCAAATGAGAAAGTAAGCCACCAGGTCTGGGACTTGAACTGTGGTCAGCCATGTGGGAGTCTAGTGCCTTTAATCATCACACGACCTGCTGGCCCCCAAAGGCAGTACTTACACTTAACATTTTCTTTTTTAAAAAAAATTTTTTTTTATTTAACTGTATTTATTTATTTACTTATTTATTTTATTTTGACCAGAAGGGGACAGAGTGAGAAAGAAAGAGAGAGAGAGAAAGCAAGCTGCCAGGTCTGGAACTTAACCACAGTTCACCATGTGGGAGTCCACGACCTGCTGGCCCCCAAAGGCAGTACTTACACTTAACATTTTCTTTTTTAAAAAAAATTTTTTTTTATTTAACTGTATTTATTTATTTACTTATTTATTTTATTTTGACCAGAAGGGGACAGAGTGAGAAAGAAAGAGAGAGAGAGAAAGCAAGCTGCCAGGTCTGGAACTTAACCACAGTTCACCATGTGGGAGTCCAGTGGCCTCAACTACCACGCCACCTGCTGGCACCTACCCTTAACATTTTCTGAGGATAAATTTTCTTCAAAGTATAAATTTGTTACATTATTTTTTTTTCTTAATATCTACAGCTTGTCTGAATCAGATCTTGCATACCTGTGACACCTAAGTAAGAAATCAGGGGGCCAGCTGTGACAGTGATTAAGGTACTGTACTTCCACATGGTCGACCACATGAAGTGGCTTGCTGTCTAACCCCTTACCCTAATTCTTCTCTGGTGAGCGCATGCGTCCTGCAGCAAATTTAGAAATAATAATAATGAGGGGTCAGCAGATGGCATAATGTTTATGTTGCTGGACTTCCATGTTGTTGACCACGGTTTAAGCCCTGGACTCAGCGGCTTGAAACTCACACCAGGCTCGTGTGTGTGTGTGTGTGTGTGTGTGTGTCCAAAATCCTGAGAGAAGAATGAAGGAGAAGGGATTGTGGGGTTGCCATATCCCCCTGGGGTGTGTGTGATTTCTCGCTTTCTGTCTCTCTGGCGAGCATATGTGCCTATAGCAAAAATCTATATAATACAAATAATGATAAATAAAAAATTCTTTAAAAAGAAAAAAAAACAGGTATATTTTCTCTTGCCTGGAAGTCTTTGTTTTTTTTTAGTTTGCTATAGGGTACTTGCTCGCCCCAGAGAGAGAGAGAAAGTGGGAGAGAGTGCGAAAGTACTCCCCAGAGGAAATGGCCATGCCACAATCCTATCTCCTCTAGAGATTTTGGAAACACATGCTGGTGTGGGATCTGGCCACCTTAATCTCCGCACCATCTGCTGGCTCCCCAGAAGTCTTCATACCTACTACAGTTTCTACCTTAGAGTACAGTCTCCCTTCTTCGAATACTTTAGTTTGTCTTTTGGGTTTTAGCCCTAGACGGTTTCCTGTATTTTCCTGTACTTTCTAACATCTACTATAACACTTCACTATTTGTATCTTGATTGCCCTTTGAGTGCTTAGTCTGTGGCAGCTATTGTTCTAAGTACTTTATGTACATGAACACATTTAATAGACACAACAGTCCTATAAAATATGTACTACTATGGGAATCTGAGGCACGGAGAGGGTAAGCGGCAGACAATGTGCTAGCATGTAGGTATGCACTAGGAAGCAGAACAAAAAATGTCCTTTCTCCCCTCGCTCTTAGTGGGAGAAAGTGAAAAAAAAGATAAAATAAATTATTTTTAATAGCTGTTACTACTAAAAGAAAAAAATATATTATGAAGAGGTCACAAAGAATAGGGAAGAATACATTAGAAAATAAACATTTGATCTCTTCTGGAAGTTTCCTCTTCTTTCATGTTACTTAAAAGATGCAGTTTTTTAGAAGCACTTTCTAATGCAACAATGAAATATTTATTTGATTTGAATTTAGGCCAAAAAACATGTTTTAGTTGATTTTTGTTTCAAGAAATAAATTAAAATCTTTGGAGTAGCAGTAGCCTAAATTAGTGTTTAAAATCATTTACTGGGACCAATAGATAGTGTAATGGTTACATTGCTGGACTCCCATGGAGTTGACTATGATTCAATTCCTGGACCCGGTGGTTTAAAACTCACACTGGGTGCGTGTGTGTGTGTGAGCCCAAAATTCTAAGAGGAGAAAGGAGAAGGGATTGCAGCATGGTCACCCTTCTGGGGGTGATTTCTTGCTTTCTGTTTCTCTAATGAGCGCACGTACCCTATAGTAAAAATCTCTCTATCTCACCCTATAGCAAAAAAGAAAAGAAATTTACTACCTTAATTCCTCTCCCAGTTTTAGGAACAATATACTTCCTCTTCACATTAAGCAAGCATAGCTGTGACTTCATTTGCCCAATTAAAATATGAGCAAATTGGGTCAGTTAGTGGTACGGTAGTTGGGGTAGCTAGATCCCACACAGCCAAATGTGCAACTGAGTCTCAGACCCTATGGCTTCAAAAACACAATGGGCACATGTGGGTATGTGCCCAAAATCCTGAAAGGAGAATGGAGGAGACAGGATTGTAGTATGGCCATTTCCCTAGAGAGTGTCTTCTCAATTTCCCTCTCTTTTTCTCTGGCAAGCACATGCACCCCATAGCAAAATTAAAAGAAAAACAAAGTTAAAACATAATGAGAAGTAAAATTTTTAGAAAAAGGTTCTGAAGCCAGTAGAACTTCCTGATGTTTCTGCCTTTGCTCCAAAGTTGGTAAATATTCACACTGATGTGCTAACCCACATTGGGTTTTGATCAAAGTGTAGATATACTGGGCTCAGTGCAGTGGTAGTGCAATGCTCTGAAATGCTGGAGGCTATAGGAAAGATCAAGGTTCAGTTCCTGAGATGACCTATACACACCAGGCATGTGCATACATGCCCATGATCCTGAATGTCTGGGAAAGGCTGAGGGAACAACTGTGGCATGAGACCCCATTGAGGGTGTTATCTTTCTCTCTCACAAAATAAATATATAAATAAACTTTAAAAATATAAACATGGCACTAGCAGGTGTCATGGTGGTTAAGGCTCTGGACTCCCACATGGCCGACTATGGTCTGAGCCCCAGATCCAGTGACTTGAAAATCACACTGGGTACTTGTGTGTGTGTGTGCCCAAAATCTCAAGAAGAGAATGGAGGATAAAGTACTGCAGTATAGTCGTCACCTGGGGGGTGATTTCTCACTTTATCTCTCTCTCTGTGTCTCTGGCAAGCACATGTTCTCTATGACAAAAACCTAAGTAAATAAATAAATAAATAAATAAATGTAACATATATTACAGTCACAGTCATCCCAAGACAGAAATTAGGATGAGCGAGAAATAAACATTCTGCCCAGAAAACAGACAGGTAGACCAATGAGACAGAACAGAAACTCCAGAAATAAGCCCCAAAACATACAGCCAGCTGATTTTTTTTAAAAGAGGTTTTTGCTATAGGGCGTGTACACTTGCTGGAAAGACAGAGAGAAACAGAGACAGAAAGCAAGAAATCAACCCCTGGGGGATGGACATGCCATAATCCCATTTCTTCCATTCTCCTCTTGGGATCCTGGGCAAGCACATGGGCCTGGTGTGAGTTTAAGCTGCCGGGTCCAGGACTCGAACCATGATCAACTAAATGGGAGCCCAGCGACATAACCATTACGCCATCTGCCAGCCTCCAGCCAACTGATTTTTGACAAAGGATATCAGTGAATCCAGTGAGAAAAGAAAAAATCTCTTTAGTAAATGGTGCTGTAAAAACTAAACATCCTAACATGCAGAAAGATGAAACTGGACCCCCATCTTTCATCATTAACAAAAATCAACTCAAAATGGATCAAAGATCTAAACCTAATACCTCAAACTATACAACTACTGGTAGAAAACACTGGAGAAACTCGGAGACATTGGGGAAGGCAAAGACTTTTTTAAAAAGAATTATTTTATTTAACTTTATTTATTATTATTATTTTCCAGTTTGATTAGAGAGACAGGCAGAGAGAGAGAGAGAGAGAAAAGGAAAGTGAGAAAGCAAGACACCAGGTCTGGGACTTGAACTGTGGTCAGCCATGTGGGAATTCAGCACCTTTAACCACCATGGCACCTGCTGTCCCCAGGCAACGACTTTTTAAATAAGACCCCCAAAGCACAGGCAATAGTCCCAAAAATAGACAAGTGGGATTACATGAGATTAAGAAATTTCTGCATAGCAAAAGATACAGTAAGTATTAGTATGACTCGACAACCCTCAGAATGGGAGAATATTTTTGTAAACTTTGCCTCAGATAAGGGACTGATAATCAGATTCCACAGAGAACTCAAACAGCTTACCAAAAAAAAAAAGATTAACCCAATTAAAAGATGAGAAAATAAGTTGGATAAAATCTTTCAAAGGAAGACATATGAACAGTCAAAAAGCACTCAACATCCCTCATCATAAGGGAGAAGCAGATTAAAACTGGAATGAGATACCACCTACTCCCTGAAAGAATGACGAATATTAAAAATACAAAAAATAGTATGTGTTGGCAAGGTTGTGGTGAAAGGGGAACTCTCCTACACAACTGGTGGGAATGTAAATTGGTCCAGCCACTGTGGAAAACAACATGGACGTTCCTCAAAGACCTACAAATAGGGACTAGCAGTTAGCGTAATGTCCATGTCACTGGATTCCCACGTAGTCAACCGCGGTTTGCGTCCCGGATCCGGTGGCTTAAACTCACGCCGGGCGCGTGTGCGTGGGTGCCCAAGATTCTGAGAGGAGACTGGAGGAGAAAGGATTGTGGCATGGTCATCCCCTCTGGGGGGTGATTTCTCGCTTTCTATCTCTCTGTCTCTCTGGCATGGTGGCAAGCACACGCGCCCTATAGCAAAAACCTCTCAAAAAGAAAAAAAAAAAAGACCTACAAATAGAACTACCATATGATCCAGCATTTCCACTCCTGAATATCTACTTAAAGAACAGGAGAATACTCGATCTGAAAAGTGCTTGCACATCTATTTATTGTGGCATTATTTACAATTGTTAACATGGAAACGGCCCAAATGTTGACAGAGAGAATGGACTGAAAAATTGTGGCACATATACTCCTTGGAATACTTATTCAGCTATCCAAAACAACAAGATCCTGGCATTTGACAGAAAGTGGATGAATACAGATTATTTATAGCTGAGTGAAGTGAGTTAGGCTATGAAAGAGAGACACTGTATATGTCTCCACTTTACATATACTGACTGTCCACACTCTATGGTAGAGACTGAAAGAATGGAGGGTATAAAAGTACTGAATGAAGACAGTATAGAAAGAGGGTGGGAGAGGTGAAGAGTGTAGGGAACAGGAAGAAAATTAGGGAAAAAATAGAGAAGCAAGACATTTCTGGGACAGAGAAATGGTTTCATCTGTTGATGGTAACATGTATAGCATTTTCAACTGGACTGGTCTGAGGCATATTTCATGGTGGGTAAATTCTCTCTATAAGCTAAATGATGTATAGCAATTCCATGTGTAAAAAAAAAATACAATAAAAAATAAAGCATTGAGCCCAGTTATGGTGGCTCAGGTGGTAGGGTGCTGTTCTGCAATGCTAGAGACCACGTGGAAGACCAGGGTTCAGATCTCAGGTTGACCTGACCATATTGATTATGCCTGTGATGCTGGCTGGTAGACTGGCAGGGAAGAATTATTACATGATGAGACCTTATGGAGAGTGCCTGTCTCTCTTGAAATAAAGAAAATAAACAAGTGAAATGAAAAAAGGAACTTTTAGTGTTCTAATGCACTGCTATTTTGGCTTTGATTATTATCTGAGCATAACCTATGCTAAGAATGGAGTCGGCTGATAGTGTGGTAGTTAAAATAGCCAGATCTTAAACGGTCAACTGCATGGTTCAAATCCTGAACCACAGGAGTTAAAAAACATGCTGGGGGTGGGGCCACCGGGTGGTGTGGTTAAGATGTTGGAATCACACAATAGTCGACCATGGTTTGAGCCTGGACTGAGAGGCGTGAGCATTACACAGGGCACACATGATTGCACAACCAAAATCCTGAGAAGATAAGGGAGAAGAGGGGATTGTGGCGTGGTCATCCTTCCTGGGAGGTGATTTATCACTTTCCTTCTCTCTGAATCTGTCTCTCCTTTCCAGTGAGCACACATGCCCTATGATGAACAAACAAACAAACAAAAGGACCCTTAAAAAAAAAAAAAAACATGCTGGGAGCATGTGCATACATGCCCAAAATCTCCAAAGGAGAAATGGGGAAGAAACTGTCATATGACCAACCTCCATAGGGGGTGTACTTTCTCACCTTCCCTCTTCCTTTCTCTTTGGCAAATGCATAAGCCTTATGGCAAATTTTTTAGAAATTTAGATTCTCAAGATATGTGTATTTTCTTGTAGATATCAATGCAAAATTTAATTATTCATAATTTAAAATTGTCAAAGAAACAGCTATAGACTTAAACATTCCTCATGAATGTGCTGATACCACAAATTCAAAACCATGAATAAGTCACAGTATAAATTTCTAAATCCAAATGTAGGAGGAAATAACCATCAATAAAAATGCAACAAAATTTTTCTTTTTTAAGGAAGTGCAAACTGGTAAGTAAAAAGACACTTTTGTTTTAGTATACTGGTGGGCCTGCACATACTAAGGTGGTCCTAGACCTGAGTAAAGAATGGCAAGATATGGACCACTCTATGTAGCATAGAGGAGTTTCATACTCCCCACTTTTTCTTTTGGAGAGAGAGATCTTTGCTATAGGGCATGTGTGCTTGCCAGAGACCGAAAGTGCGAAATTACTCTCTTGGGGGATGGCCACACTGGAATCCCTTTTCCTCCAGTCTCCTCAGGATTTTGGGCATGAACGCATGGATGTGCACCCAGCATGAGTTTTAAGCTGCTGGGTCTGGGACTAAAACCATAGTCAACTACATGGGAGTCCAGTAACATAACCATCACACTGTCTGCTGGTCCCCAAACCCCCTTTTGTTATTCATCCATGGTTTCGCTTTCTGTGGTTTCAATTATCAGTGATACAGTACAGCAAGATATTGAGAGAGACAGAGACTAATTCGCATGACTTTCATTAAAAGTATATGATTATGGGAACCAGCAGTTAGCGTAATGGCTATGTCGCTGGACTCCCACGTAGTCGACCGCGGTTCACTATCAGTGATACAGTACAGCAAGATATTGAGAGAGACAGAGACTAATTCGCATGACTTTCATTAAAAGTATATGATTATAACCGTTCTACTTTATTACTAATTATTATTGTCAATCTCTTACTGTGCCTAATTTACAAACTAAATCATATGTATGTATAGGAAAAAAATACAGTACAGGATTTGATTCTATCTGTGGTTACAGGTATCCCCCTGGTGGTCTTAGAACATACTCCCCATGTATAAGGGGGGACTACTGTATAGTCTTCTAGAAATAGTATGAGAAATAAGGAATGAAAAGAAATAATTAAGAGAAAAAAGATATGACGAAGATGAGTTACTCTGCAGAGATAGAAAAAAAATGAGGCATGTTAAGATCTTTTTCCTACCTTTTTAAAAGTTAATTTAGGAGCCGGCAGGTGGTGTGGTGGTTAAAGGCGCTGGATTCCCACATGGCGAACCACGGTTCGAGTCCTGGACCTGGAGGCTTGCTTTCTTGCTTTCTCTTTCTCTCTCTGTTTCTGTCTAATTGAAAAATAGTAATAACAAATGGAATAAAATAAATAATTCTTTTTTTCAAAAAAGTGTATTTATCCCATGATTGAGAGACAGGGACAGAGACACAAAGTATCCTGACACAGTGCTGATGCCAAGATCCACCCCCAGGCCTCAGCCAGCCTAGATCATGAACACACATGTTCTTGGTGTACTTAGGGAGGTCTCAGGGCTTGAACCAGCAACCTTCCCACCACTCTGCCTTGTAGAGCCTTGCATTTTATTTTACTGTGCCAGCACCCAACCCCACTGAAGAACTTTTAAAATAAGCACTGCTCAATATTCAACGGAATGTTGTTGACCTTGCTCTCGTTTTCAGCAAAGCTGGCTATCTGCCCAAAGGCCTTCTGTAAATGGGGTTCTTTGTTTTATGTGTCAAAATTACAGAAAGAGGCCAAGTCAAAAATACTCCTAAATATTTCGTTAAAAATGTATACTGTTTTAAGTAAACTTAATACATGAAAATGAGATCTTTAAGTAAAAGACTATTTGATTTATCCTCTGTTTAACAGGTACTTACTGGTCACGATGAAATGTACCTCAAAACACTTACTTCATCATAGTGACTCTTCGCAAATAGGAGTGCACACAGTTCTCCATAGAGTGCAGCTTTGTTTGCTTGTTGGCCATGTTTTGACAGTTTATCCATATATGTCTGAGCTAACTTAAATGTTTCTTCACCCAAATGATATTTGCAGTTCCCGTTGCGCACATGAAGCAACCTGCAGAAACACAAATAATAATCCTCTATTTTTTTGTATTTCCAACAAGGTAGATCTGACAAGCTCTTACAGAGCACTATTAGTACTCAAATGCCTTAAAGTACGTGGATGCAAGAAATGAGGCAGCACGGGAAAACAAGTGTGTGGCTCAAACTGGGGTTGAATAACACCTGTAAAAGGAACCACGTGCTCTTTCCAGAAACCTTCTCAAGATTTAGCTAACTTTGGGAACCAGCAGTTAACGTAATGGCTATGTCGCTGGACTCCCACGTAGTCGACTGCGGTTCGCTTCCCGGACCCGGTGGCTTAAAACTCACACCAGGCACGTGTGCGTGTGTGCCCAAGATCCCGAGAGGAGAATGGAGGAGAAGGGACTGCGGCGTGACCATCCCCCCTGGAGGGTGATTTCTCGCTTTCTGTCTCTATGTCTCTCTCTGTCTGTCTGGTGAGCGCACGCGCCCTATAGCGAAAACCTCTCCAAAAAAAAATTTTAGCTAACTTTGATTCTTATCTTCTCTAGATATTTTGTATACTTTGAATAATCAGCATGCAGCTTATTTATTTATTTAAATTTGCCAGAGGGCATGTATGCTGGACAGAGAGAGACTGGGGGAAGGTAGTGAGAAAGTACCCCCCATGGGGAAAGGTCATACTGCAATCCTTTTCCTTCCTAAAACCCTCCTTTCAGGATTTTGGGCACGCATGCACCCATGCCAGGCATGTTTTTTAAGCTGATGGTTCCAGGACTTGAACTGTGTGGTGGGCCATATGGGATCCAGCCACCTTAACTACCATGCCATGTGTTGGTCCAGCACAAACTATATCTAAAAAAAATAATATTTTTTTTTGTTCCAATCCACAATAATATAGTTTAAGTAATTTGGAAAATAATAAAAGTCAACATGAAATAATATTACCCACAATTACCTTCTATTCTTATTTTTAGTATATTTGTGAAACACTTGATTGATTAGTTATTGATTTCACAATGATTATAAATGCTCATTTTTGCTTATCTTTCAAATAAGGTAAGTTCACTGACAATACCAGTAGTGTTAGCTAATTCTTTTACAACATTTTTGTTTTGTTTTTGATAGAGGGTTTTTTTTCCCCCTTAGGGTGTGTGTGCTAGCAGGGCAGAGGTTGGGGTGATGGACAGAGATTGTAAGAAGGAAAATGAGAAGTCACCCCTCAAGGGAGATGGCCACACCTCAATCCTTTCTCCTCCATTCTCCTCCTGGGATCTTGAGCACGCACGCACATACACACAGCATGAGTTTCAAGCCACTGGGTCCAGAATTCAAACCATGGTCAGCATGTGGGAGTCCAGCAATGTAATCTCTATGCCATCTGCTGGCCCTTTTATAATCTCTATCCTGTATGATGCAGAACAGAGTTCTTTATACAGAGTAACTGTACAACCATTCTGATTATGCAGGAGTAGTAAAATGCTCTGGATCTCACTGAAGTCTAGATAGCAACTGACTCTATAATAAATCTATAGACTATATAAGACAGGAGAACAATGTGGAATGTAGGACTGGGCAAATATTTAACTATAATGCCAGTTAGAATATTATGTCCTTGTGTTAGGCTAAATATAATTTTTTGACAATGTTGGCCTGAGAGAGAACAAAGGTATGTGAGGACTTCAAAAAGTTCATGGAGAAATGGAATTAGGGGCCAGATGATGTTGCAGCAGTAAAATGATACTCTGTGAGGCTGATTCATGTGAGGAAGTTCCAGGTTTACATCTAGAGACCATCCCAAGTACACTGGGCATAAATGTACCAATAATCTGGGCCTGGTTGAGGCTGGGGTTGGACCCTATTGGAATGTTATTTTTCTTGCTCATGGAAGAAATTTTTAAAAACTTAAAAATAAATAAATAAAGTGTCTGCTGCCTAAAAAAATCCAGAATTAAAGTTATGAGTTATCTTAGTGCAAAAAAAAAAAAAAATCCATGAGTAGTTTTTTTTTTTTTTTTTTTTAAGAGAGAGATTTTTGCTCTAGGATATGTGTGCTTGCTGGAGAGACACAGAGAGACAGAAAGTGAGAAATCACACCCCCCACCCCACCATCAGGGGACTAGCCATGCTGCAATCCCTTCTCTTTCATTCTCTTCTTGGGATTTTGGGCATGTATGCACATGCACCCGGTGTGAGTTTTAAGCCATCAGGTCCAAGACTCGAACTGTGGTCAACTATGTGGGAGTCCAGCAATGAAACCATTACACCATCTGCTGGTCCCCATACATAGTTTTTTTCAGTATGAACTCTTCATAAACTTTTTGAAGACCTTTCCTTACATAAAAGCCACTTAGAAAAATAAAAAATGGAAATGTAAAGTAGGGAAATATTCTTTAGAAATGTAAAATCAATAGGTAATTAAAACTTAATTTTCCGGGGCCAGCAGTTGACGTAATGGCTATGTCACTGGACTCCCATGTAGTCGACCATGGTTTGAGTCCCGGACCCGGTGGCTTAAATTCTTGCTGGGCACGTGTGTGCGTGTCCAAGATCCTGAGAGAACGGATTGTGGCGTGACTTCTCGCTTTCTGCCTCTTTGTTTCTATCTTTCTGGCAAGCACATGTGCCCTATAGTGAAAAAAACCTCTCAAAAAAAAACCCCAAAACTTAATTTGTCTACTTATACCAAAAATACTAATAGTTCAATAATCTAAAAATGAGAAAAATTCAAACAACTTTCTGATTGCTATAATTTCTTTAGATAGTCAGGGAAGAACAAATAGAATAACTTCAAAGACGGAATACTAAACAATGCTTATAAATAATGTTTATAGCCTTTGACACTCACCATATAGTTACTTGCTTTTAGAAAATAATAAAACTTGCTTGGCCCAATAGTCCAGTAGTTAAGGGAGCCAGATCCCACATGGCTGACAGTGGTTCAAGTCCCAGACCCAGCAGATTGAAAAACACATTGAGTGGGAGCCAGCAGTTAGCATAATGGCTATGTTGCTGAACTCCCTCCCATGTAGTCGACCGTGGTTGACATCCCGGACCCGGTGGCTTAAAACTCACGCTTGGCGCGTGTGTGTGTATGCCCAAGATCCCGAGAGGAGAATGGAGGAGAAGGGACTGCAACGTGACCATCCCCCCTGGGGGGTGATTTCTCGCTTTCTATGTCTCTCTGTCTGTCTGGCAAGCGCACGTGCCCTATAGTGAAAACCTCTCAAAAAAAAAAAAAATTAAAAACCACATTGAGCATGTGTGCTGCAAGCTCCAAATCCCAAAAGGATGGAGAACAAAGGAGAAGGGACTGCAGTGAGACATAACTCAGTGTGTGCGGGGTGTTTGCCTTCAGTCTCTGCCTCTCTCTGGTGCGTGTATGTGCCCTCTGGCAATTAAAAAAAATCTCAGAAGAAGAAAAGAATAAAACTCTCAAGCAAAGTAATATTCTAAGAATATTAAATAGTCACATATGGTAAATGGATCCCATTGGGACAATGCAACTCTTGAAAGACTGCTCTTGCTGCCATGCGGGGAAAGGTTTATAGCAAAGTCAAAAGTGGAAGCAAAGCAACTAGGATAGAAGATATTATATCTATCCAGGGAAAAACATCTGTGAGAAAGCAAGAATTATTATAAGAAACAGAGATTGGATGACTTGCCAAATGGCTGAATATAGAAAAGAAAAAACCCAGGCACAGGGTAAATTTAAAGAACAACAACAAAAAAACAGTGCCGGGAACCAGCAGTTAGCGTAATGGCTATGTTGCTGGACTCCCACGTAGTCGACCGCGGTTCACGTCCCGGACCTGGTGGCTTAGAACTCACGCCGGGCGCGTGTGCGTGCGTGCCCAAGATCCTGAGAGGAGAATGGCGGAGAAGGGATTGCTAAGTGACCATCCCCCCTGGGGGGTGATTTCTCGCTTTCTGTCTCTATGTCTCTCTCTGTCTGTCTGGCGAGTGCACAAGCCCTATAGCGAAAACCTCTCAAAAAAAAAAATAAATAAATAAATAAACAGTGCTTGCTTTTCATCTCCATAATGCTAAGAATTGTATTTCCAATGACTTTAATCATATATGCATTATGGTAATTATTTAGTAACTGCATATGATGAGGTAGCAAATTAAACATTTTATACCAGAAAGGCACAGTTTGATACTGTCTAGTTCCCGCTGTCTACTGAAACAAAAGAGCAAATTAAACATATGGAGACTCCTTAGAGTCTGTGTGTCCATTGGAACTGATAGTGAGCAGGAAGCAAAAAATCTAGAAACTTTTGGTCCAATTGCTGGTCTAATTCTGTCTCAACACTAAGCTTAAGGAGTAAACAGGTTCTTGGAACCAGCAAGTGCCACAGTGTTAAGGGCACTGGATTCCCACATGGCCAACCATGGTTCCAGTCCTGGACCTGGCAGCTTGCTTTCCTACTTTCTCTCTCTCTGTCCCTCTCTGGTCAAATTAAAGTAAATAAAAGAAATGAAGTTCAATAAAATAATTTAAAAAAAAGAAAAGAAAAGAAAAAAGCAGGTTCTCAAGGTTTTCCAAATGTGGTGTTACCCCCTGAGCATAGCATTTTACTTATAAAGAACATAAAGATCACATTTACCTGATCAACAGATAATGTCAAAAGCAATTACTAAGCAATTGGTTAAGCTATTCATTGTTTAAAATGGAAAATATGTATATTTTATTAGTTTATGAATATATTTACTGTAAGACTGAGGAAAATTACTAGATACTCGTCAGACAGGCACAATAAAAATAAAATACAAGAAGAGGCCAGCAGGTGGTTTAGTAGTTAAAGTGCTAGACTCCCACATGGCCGACCGTGGTTTGAGTCCTAGGCCCGGCAGCTTGAAAATCATGCTGGGTATGTGTGTGTGTGTGCCCAAAATCCCAAGGGGAGTATAGAGGAGAAGGGATTGTGGCATGGCCACCCCCATTGGGGATAATTTCTTACTTTTCATCTCTGTTTCTCACTCTCTAGCGAGTGTACATGCCCTGTAGCAAAAGCTTAAAAAAAAAAAAGAAAGAAAATACTCTGAAAGCAAACCTAAAGGGAAAGAATCTCTCTCTCCTTAGGTGGCTTTTTCTAAGACCTAGTTAAAATTTTTGGAAGTGGGCTAGCTGGTGGTGTGAGTGTTAAGGCAGGTGGATCTCAAATGGCCAACTATACAGTTCAAGTTTGGATACAGCAGGTACCCAGAGTGTTTTATAAGCCAGTGGGGCTGGGATTCAAACTACACGGTCAACCACATGGACTACAGCTCCATTACCCACTGGGTTAATGGTACGGGTGGTAAAATTATAACACAGTATCTGCCTACTAGCTATTTAAAAGTGTACAGCTCAGTTACATCAATTTTATTCAATATTTCATATAAATATCATGGCCATCTACTCCGAAAATGCCATTTTATTTTTTGCTATAGGGTGCGTGTGTTCGCCATAAAGACAGAGAGAGACAGAAAGCAAGAAATCAGCCCCCCGGGGAGATGCCTACGCCACAATCCCTTCTCCTCCATTCTCCTCTCGGGATCTTGGGCATGCACGCACACGTGCCCAGCATGAGTCCAGCTCAAAGGCAGGGACAGATTAATTCCAGAGAATAGTTGAAAAGAAACAGTTGGAGATATGCTTTTAGTTTTAGGCTGTCTTCTTCCAAAAATGTTTCAAGACAGTAACTGATTATTTTTGATAAATAGGGTCATAGAAGATATTTATTTTCTTTATAGTTTTCAGCATTTTCTGAATTTGTTTGGGAACAGACATATATAAAGAGATCAAATAAAGCTATTAAACAGAAAATGAGTAAAGAGCAACAGGCAGAGTCCCCAAGGAATGTGAAAAGTGGTACTAGGTCTAACTACGGAGAGGTCAATAAAGTTTTCTGACACTTGCTCTATAATGTTTTGATGCAAGTCTCAAATTGGAAATGGCTTTGTGATATTAAATTGAAAAATAACATTCTCATCCTGCATCAGGCTGGAAGAGAAGAGACAGTGGCATGACTGTGCCCCACTGGGGACGGTGTTTTCTCGCTCACCCTCGCTTTCTCTCTCCCTGTGGCAAGCAAGTGCACTCCACTGAAAAAAACTTATAATAAAAAAAGACAAACTAGGAAGGAGAGGAGATCAGGTACTGTAAGAAAACTAAACCTTCTGGATAGGCTAAAGCAAATGTGTATAGGCTCCTTAGACTGAAGAAACATTAGATACCTGTGTGAAATAACTCTGATTTTGAGAACAATCAAGTGCATACAAAACCAAAATGCTTAGCTTTAAAGTCAAGGCTATTATAAAGAATAATCTATAAAAGAATCATACAAAATAGCTTTTCAGTTCGTATATATAGATATATTTAAACCCACCAAATCCCATATGGGATAGTCCATTTTCTTTTTTTTTTTTTTTTGGAGAGATTTTCACTGTAGGGCGCGTGCGCTCGCCAGACAGACAGAGAGAGACATAGAGACAGAAAGCGAGAAATCACCCCCCAGGGGGGATGGTCATGCCACAATCCCTTCTCCTCCATTCTCCTCTCGGGATCTTGGGCACGCACGCACACGTGCCCGGCGTGAGTTTTAACCCACCGGGTCGGAGACACAAACCGCGGTGGACTACGTGGGAGTCCAGTGACATAGCCATTACGCTAACTGCTGGTTCCCGGGATAGTCCATTTTTTACAAAGACAGAATCAGCAGAAGAGAAAAAAAAGACAAAACAGAGGTTATTTTTTGTCAGTACTATAAATAACAGGCCAAATACCAATCCTTTATAATTTCTGCACACATGGGACCAGTCGTTATAAAAACAGAAATGCAAATGATTTTAAAAGATACGAAGGGATGCAAAGGGTGGCACAGCAGGAAAATGGATCCTCTGCATGGCTGACCCACATGGGAAGGTTTCAGATTTGTGTCTGGAGAACTCCCTGAGCAGACTAGGAATGCATGATCCAAGACTGGGTGACAGTAGAGTATGACATCAAGAACTTTGTGTGGGTGCTGCCTCTCTCTCTCAATAATACATAAATAAGCTTAATAAAACAGAAGAGGGAGAGAAAACTTTACTCAGTCTTAGCTTAAATCAACAATGGTTTATAGAAGAATCTATATGCTAGTTCTGAAAGAATTCAGTTTTAATTAAATCATCTATGAAATACCTACGAAATTTAACTCCATAAAAGCAGACTAAATTCAGCAAATGAATCAAATTTTAGTTAACAAAGCAAAAGAAATTTTACTTAATTTTGATTTTCTTTTAGTTTTACATTAAAAAAAATTCTTTTTAAGAAATACCAAATTAGGGCCAGTAGGTGGTGTGATAATTGGGGCACTGGCACTGGACTTTCACATGGCAGACTGTGATTTGAGTCCCAGACTTGGCAGATTGTTTTCTCATTTTCCCTCTTTCTGTTTCTCTCTGATGAGTACACATGCTCTGTAGCAAATTTAAAAATGGTAATAATGGGGACCAGCAGATGGTGAAATGGCTATGTTGCTGGACTCCCATGTAGCTGACTGTGGTTCAAGTCTCGGACTTGGTGGCTTAAACTCACACCGGGTGTGTGTGCGTGCGTGCCCAAGATCTTGAGAGGAGAATGGAGGAGAACGGATTGCAGTGTGACCATCCCTCTGGGGGGTGATTTCTCATTTTCTGTCTCTCTGTCTCTCTCTTTCTGGTGATTGCACACACACTATAGCAAAAACCTACCCCCACTCCCACCCCCCCCAAAAAAAGTAATAATGATAAAGAGTAGAACCAAATAGGTAGTTCTTAAAAAAAGATATGCTTCGGGTCTGGTAGGTGGCGTGGTGATTAAGGGCACTGTACTCCCACATCGTCTACTGTGGTTCAAGTTCTGGACTTGGAGACTTGCTTTCTCACTTTCCCTCCCTCTCTCTCTTTGTCCTTCTCTGGTAAAATTAAAATAAAGAAATAAGGTTAAATAAAAAAAAAATAATTCTTAAAAAAAAAAAAGAGAGATATGCTATATCAAATTGGGAGATAGAAAACCTACATGAAAATAGTGGATGCTAAATTTACATATGCAGGAAGAAAAGGTAACAGCAATAAAAACAGAGTTACTTCCAGATTTTTTTGTCCTTCCGTTAAGATATCTGTAAGGAAAAAATAAATGTATCTTTAAAGAAAGCAGTTATTGGGGACCAGCAGGGGGCGTGGTAGTTAAGGCGCTGGACACTCCCACATAGCTGACCACGGTTCAAGTCCCGGACCTTAGAAGACCTAAAACTATAAAAAGCCACAAGGTACCATCACAGCACATAATATAGGATCTATTCCAACTTACCTCACACAACATTCTACTGCACGAAACCAATGAAGCATCTCATCATGTAGAGTACACAACTGAAGGCAGGACAGAAACACTTTCTCAGCATCACTATACCAGCCTGCATCTGAAAGAAAGCCACCTAGAGAACAAGAAAAAACAGGAACTTTAGATCATTCAATAAACTGCCTGAGCTAAAATGATATGTTTACAGAGAATAGTATCAAAACTAAAACAAAACAAAAAATACCAAAACAAACAAAAAAACAAAACCCATTTAGAGGGTGGGCAGATGGTGTGCTGACTGAGATGCTAGATTCCCCTATGGTTTGAGTCAAAGCCAACTATGGTTTGAGTCCTGGACCTGATGGCTTGATTTCTCACTTTCCCTCTCTCTTTGGCTAAATTAGAAATAATAATAATTGGGACCAGCAATTGGCATAATGGCTATGTCACTGGACTCCCATGTAGTCGACCATGGTTCGAGTCCTGGATCCAGTAGCTTTAACTCACTCAGGGCACGTGTGCATGCGTGCCCAAGATCCCCAGAGGAGAATGGAGGAGAAGGAACTGTGGCATGGTCAGCCCCTGGGGGGGGGGGTGATTTCTCTGTCCCTCTCTGGTCAAATGTAAATAAATAAATAAATAGATAGATAAATAAAGTTAGATAAATAAAGAGGAATGACAATTAACAGCAGAAACAATAGCCAACCCCAAAATCAAATCAACTGGTTCAGTTTAGAGAATCCTGACGGAAAAATTACAGTCTAGCAAATTCTGTTGGTTAGATGCCAAAACTGCTGCACTGATATCATCTGCAGATAAGAATAGAGCCTTCAATGAAAATTTTAAATACGTGGGATCAAGATCCTGAAGCATAACTTTACTATATGATTCTGAAGACAAAACACATCAAAGCAATGGATACCAACAGGTGGAAGTAATTTAGTCAAGGGAAAATGGGACCCATCAAGAGCAATATGACAACAGTTTTTTGGAATGGTCAAGGCATTTTGCTTATTGACTTTCTAGAGAGCTAAAAAAGTGGTAACAACTGGAGACCAGTGGGAGATCAATGCACTCTCACTTAGTCAACTGCGGTTTAAATCCTGGACCTGGCAACTTAAACTCATGCTGGGCACGTGTGCATGTGTGTGCAATATCCTGAGAGGAGAATGGAGAAGAATGGATTGTGGCATGGCCATCTCCTCTATGGGGTGATTTCTGTCTCTCTCTCTGTCCAGTGCATAAGGCCTATTGCAAAAATCTTTCAAAAACAAAAATGAAACAAAATGGTAACATCTGACTAGGAGAGTGTTTTGAGAAACTCAGACACAGTTTTAGCAGAGAAATGACTGGGAAAGCTTCTCTATAAAGTATTTTCACCATAACAATACCGCTGCTCATTCCTCTTACCCAATAAAAGGAAATTTTCTGAAACTGTACATGAGAAATTATTAGATATCATCTTACTGCCCCAATTTGGCTCCAACTTCTTTCTTTTTTTTTTAAAGAAATATTTTATTTAACTTTATTTATTTTAATTTGACCAGAGAGGGACAGAATGAGAGAGAAGGAGAAAGAAAGAAAGAGAGAAAGCAAGCTGCCAGATCCAGGACTCGCACTGTGGTTGGCCAAGTGGGAGTACAGCACCCTTAACCACCATGCCACCTGCCGGCCCGGCCCCCAACTTCTTATTTCCTAATTTTTTTTTTCCCTTTTCCTAATGAGAATTTGTGTGAGAGCATGAAAGAGACAGACAGGTAGGGATAGGAGCTCCCTCGACAGGGTCTTATCATGCTGCAACCCCCTCTCCTCAGCCCTTCAGTTTCGGGGATCTTCAGTGCTCACACCTGGCATGTTTTCAAACTCATCTGCAGACCTGAACCCACAGTCAGCTATGTGGCCCAAACACTGCAGTATTATATGCCATGACTATGCCACGTAGGCTAAGACTGCTTCCTAATCTTGAAAATATTTAAAGGACACCCATTTTTCTTTAGTTAATAATAATAATAATAAAATGCATTGACAAGGTTAAATTCTAAGAACTCTCAGGATTTTTGTTTTGTTTTATTGCCAGAGGGTATGTGCACTTGCCAAAGACAAACGCATAATGGGGCACAGTCACTCTACAATCATTTCTCTTCCATTTCTCCACCCTGTCAAGATTTTTTTTTTTTTTTTTGGGGGGGTTTTTTTTATAGGACGTTGTTGTCCACCAG